TGGTCTGCTGGGGGGGTCCAGCGGCTTTGCTGGACCCCCCCAGCAGACCAGGGAGACCGGGAGAAGCTTTTCTCACCCCGGAGGACACGGGTGGCGACCCGCCGCCCATGAGCTCCGGGGCGAGAAAAGCCCCATTCGTAAGTGCGGATCCGACGTAAGTCGGATCTGCGTAAGTCGGAGACTGCCTGTAGAGATGTTTTGTGCCTTGTGTGCCCCCTCTCCCAAAAGAGGATTCAGCAATAGTCAAACAGCTAAATAACCACTATATTAGATCTTTGGGGAAAAGTAAACAACTAGTTACTTTTGGCTATCCTAGGGTACATCTATGTTGCGCAGCTACTTCGGGTTACTCCAGGCTATTTTGGGGTACCACACGTCTTAACATACTTTTTTAAATAACAGGTGTGCTGTTTTGGCATCCTGGTAGCCCTTGTTCCATTAGGGTTAAGGACTATCTTGAAATAGCACATTATTTCTAAATTTGGCACTGTGTAGACGTGCCAAATTTCAAAATAAGCTATTTCAAAATAGATTCAAAATAAGATATGCAATTTACATATTGCAAATTGCATATCTTATGTCGAGTTTAGGGTACTGTGTAGAAGACGTACCCCCAGAGGAGATGATGGTAGCCAAGATTATTAAGCACCTGAGATCTACAATTATTATTCTTCCATACCTAAAGGAAGCCACAGTTTCTGCCCTAAAGAACTTTAAATCAAGCCTGGATTTTTCTCAGCTGTGGGGATTATGTTTGTTTGTTTGTTTTTAAAATTAAGCACATCTATCCATGCGTTTACACTCTGAGGGTATGTCTATACTAGTCACCCTAGTTCAAACTAGGGGGGCTAATGTAGGCATTCAAACTTGCAAATGAAGCCTGGGATTTAAATATAATTAAACATCATTGTACACTAACATTATACAAGCCATGTGTAAAGCCAATGGACTCAGGTCATCAACAGGTGGGATTAAATCTGGGACCTTAGAGGCTAAAGTCATGAGCTGCTGCAGTATGAGCTAAGAGACAGCTGACTCTCAGCTAAGGCTTTAGAGCAAATTTTACTCTCCTTTGTCAGTGATCTCTGTGCCTCTCGGTTGGGGTGCTGTACGAGACAACTATCCTCTTCATTATTTACTGACCTGACGCTATCAAAGCTATCCTTAAGAATGACCAGTGACCTCTCTTGGGTAAATGAAAATTTTTAAAAATATACTACAAATGTTTTTTTATAATGTGGTTTAGACATGCATTTTTAAATAACCATTAAAAATAGATGCATACCAATTATGTTAAGGGAAATTCACAATTGAGGCTTGGAGTATTCCAGTCAATATGGCCCTCTGTTAACAAAGCCTTTGAACAGTGGAGAATGATACGGTATGTACTGTGGATAAATGTAACCAGAGATCTCTCTCCCTTTGTCATATATAGGCCTTATCTATTACAATAACTATACTGATGGATACTCTAATCTAGAATAAAAGAGACTTTCAGCCTAGTTTTGACAACATGCTTGAACAACTGAGGACATGTCTACACTGCGGGGCAGAAGTTGAATTAATATACTGAAGTAACTTCAGCTACATCAATTACGTAGTTTCAGGCTAAGTCTAGACTGCAGGCTTCTTTCGGAAGAAGCTTTTCCAGAAGAGACCTTCCAAGAAAACTTCTTCCAAAAAAGAGCGTACACACCGTCAAAGCACATTGAAAAAGTGATCTGCTTTTTCAAAAGATAGTGTCTACACTGAATGGATGCTATCCAGCATGTAAGCTGTGATTACTAATGACGGAGTGGCCAGTAGGGCACCTGTGCTTTTTTCTCTTTCCTCTTCTTTCGAAAGAACTCCCTCTTCCCTGTCCACACACCTTTTTCCGAAAGAGCTCTTTTTCTGAAAAAACTCTGTAGTGTAGACATAGCCTCAGTCAAAAAAACTTATTCTGACTTTTGGCAGTGTCTACACAGCAGGAAGTTGCAGGAAGAACACTCTTCTTCCAGCGTCCCTTATTCCTCATAAAATATGGGGTACAGGAGTTGAAGTAAGAAGTCTTCCATCTCGACATTATTTTGACATTATGTCAAAATAACTGTTTGTGGTATAGATGTGGATTTTATTATCTCGGAATAATGTCAGTTATTTTGAAATGACACTGCTGTGTAGACATAGCCTGAACGTCTTATTCCCAGTAGCAAGCTGCCTGTTGGTGGAGCAAGATCATCACCATGCACTGCTACAGGACAAACTTGGGTTTAGCCGCAGACTTGGTCTGGCACTTCCCCAGCCAAGAGAGAATTTCAGTACAGTAGACAGGTGCAGATAAACCTAGCTCTTTGGACATTACTGATGTGAGGAGAAGCAGCTGCATATTCAAAGAGCTTCTCAGCTTGCTAGTTTACACAAATGTATTAACATTCTCCTTGGAGGAAACTGCTGGTATGCATTCCCAGCAGGCATTAAACTTTAGGTGACAGAGGTAGTTTAGAGAAAGCTTCAGATGCAGAGACTTTAGCTTTAAGCAGGAGCGAGCGAGAGAGAGAGAGAGAAAGAGAGAGATGGGGGGAGGGAGGGATGAGTAGTTCATAGACAGTCAATATATTATTATGGGTATAGTGGCATAGTTGTGCCTAGCACCACACTAAGGTTATAAAAAGTGTCCTTGCCCCTTCAATATTTTAATCTAAATGAAATCACAACACAAAACAATGGCAACAATCCTTCCTTGGTATGTGGGCCAAGGAAGTGCTAGGGAATAGACATCCATAGGCACAAGTAGAACAGTTTGCAGTGCAATTCTAGCCATGTTAGTCCCAGGATATTAGAGAGACAAGGTGGGACAAGGTAATATTACACAGAGCCCTTCTTTAGGTTTTAGGGGAGGGTGGATTTTCCAGTAGGGAATATGCAGAATTGATTAATATGGTGTATTTCATTTTGATTATTTAGGCTTTTATCCTTTAATATACTATTTCAATTTAATCATTTAAAATTCTATATTTGAAATCTATATGTAATTGCAGTATTGCCAATCTTTCAATTTAAATGCATGTGTCATGACATTTTGTTTTTTTCTTACAAATCCAGCTCCTGGAATCATGTGAGCTCAGGTAAATGTCACTTTCCTTTCCCCTCCCCCCTGTTTTCTTTAATTGCACCTAAAAAACTCAGAAATCAGAAGTCAAAGAAAAAATATTACTTTTTTTAATCACATGATTTTAAGGCAATCTTTGGGGGGGACTCATGATTTTTTTAAAGTTTAGAGTTGGAAGTACTGTTATTAGTAGGCCTCCTGGGACAGATTGAAAAGATTTTGTGGTTAAAAGTTCTGGGGTAGCAACTGAAAAACTAAAGAATGTCTTAGCAGCTACATGTAAAAAGCAAAACACTCACCTTTCATCCCATTCCATTTCCTGCAGTCACACTGAGTATTGGCTCAGACTTGAACTCTTGCTTTATCCACTAAAGACAAAGCTACAAGTTTGTGTATCGAGTATACTTCATTAGGAGAAGAAAGTTGTATCGATAATAGATACACAGACACACGCTGTTATCTACACTCATATTTAGAAGGAGAAAGAAGGGGAGTCGTTAGTATATTCCCCAAGCAGAAAATAAATGATGTTTGTATTTGTCTTGGGCTCTTGATTCCAATGAGGTAGTTATTAGAAGTCTCCTTCTTGCATTTAGTCATGTTTG